TCACCGCAGGAGCCTCTCTCTCCACTGCAGCTGCGCGAGTGGTTTGCTCGGCGCACCCGCCTTCGGAGTGGCGCTGCTGGAGCTGGGGGGCCTGCCGCTGGAAGTGCTGGAGCTGCTAGTCCTGGAGGTGCTGGCGGTCCTGCTAGAGCTGGTGGTACTAGAGGTGCTGGAGCTGCTAGTCCTGGAGGTGCTCGTGCTGGAGGCACTGGAGCTGCCAGAGCTGGTGGTGCTGCTGGTGCTAGAGGTACTGGAGGTGCTGGAGGTGCTGGAGCTGCTGGTCCTGGAGATGCTCGTGCTGGAGGTACTGGAGCTGCTGGAGCTGGTGGTGCTGCTGATGCTGGAGGTGCTGGAGGTGCTGGAGGTGCTGGAGCTGATGGTCCCGGAGGTGCTCGTACTGGAGGTACTGGAGCTACCGGAGCATGTGGTGCTGCTGCTGCTGGAGGTGCTGGAGCTGCTGGTCCTGAAGGTGCTCGTACCGGAGGTATTGGAGCTGCTGGAGCTGGTGGTGCTGCAGGCGCTGGAGCTGGAGACCCTGGAGCTGCGAGTTCCCCTGCCGTCTCCTCCTGCGTCCTCTCTAGCTGACGGTCCGGACCCTGAGTGTGACTTAGTTTGTGCTGCCAGTCCTACTGTCACACGTTTTCTAGCCACTGTTGTCACTGACACTTCGTTTGAGTCCGCTGTTGCGTCTGCCCTAGTTGGTAAGCTTGTCGACTTTGCGGCCTGTCGTCTTGAATGCGCCGCTACTCTTGTTGCTGAGTCTGAGTCTGACTGTCCTCCATCCGTCGGGGGTGAGTGTGCTCTTGGCACGTACGTCCTTGAGGACAGGCATGAGGACTTTGAGTGTCTTGCAGCTGATGTACCTCATCTTGTGTCCATGCTGCTTGCACGTGAGGCAGACCCGGATGCACCAGACATCCCGACCCCGCGCTCTTATGCAGGGGCGATCGCGTGTGAGTACTCCTCTCAGTGGCAGACAACCATGGACGCAGGGATGGCATCCACAAAGTCCACAGGCACTTACGATGACGCAGTTCCACCTCCTGGGCCGAACATAGTCAATGGCATGTGCTACTTCTGGGGGTGCTAAGCTTGGGGGTGCGGAGCCTGGGGGCGCTGAGCCTGGGGGTGCGGAGCCTGGAGGTGCGGAGCCTGGGGTTGCGGAGACTGGAGGTGCTGAGCCTGGGGGTACTGAGACTGGGGGTGCTGCACCTGGGGGCGCTGAGGCGTCTGGTGAGCAGTCTCCCTGGAGCGGCCGTCTCCGTAGTCGCTCCGCTGGTACCTCGCCGCTAAACTCTCGTCGTCGACTCCCTCTCTCCCCACAGCAGCTGCGTGAGTGGTACGTTGGCCGTCAGGGTCGCGCTGCTGGAGCTAGGGGCCCTGCTGCGGGAGGCGCTGGAGCTGGTGACTCTGCTACTGGAGTTGTTTGAGCTGGAGGTTTTGGAGCTGCTGAGGGTGCTGGAGCTGGAGGTACTGGAGCTGCTGGAGGTGCTGGCGCAGGTGGCGCTGGAGCTGGAGGTTCTGGAGCTGCTGAGGGTGCTGGCACTGAGGGTTCTGAGTCTGCTGTTGCGCGGTCTCCTTGGAGTAGCCGCCTTCATCCGCGTGTGCCTCTCACCTCACAGCAGCTGCACGACTGGTACGGTCGCCATCAGGGTCTCGCTTCTGGAGCTCGGGGCTCTGCCGCTGGAGGTACTTCTGCTGACGTCACTGGAGCTGTGAGTGGTGCTGGTCCCGGAGGTGCTCGTACTGGAGGTACTGGAGCTACTGGGGCTGGAGGTGCTGAGCCTGAGGGTGCTGCTGCTGGAGACACTGAGGCTGGAGACCCTGGGACTGGAGGTGCCGGTTCTGGGGGTGCTGCTGCTGGTGGAGCTGGTCCTGGAGGAGCTGGAGCTGAGGGTTCTGGAGCTGCTGGAGCTGCTGGAGCTGCTGGGGGTGCTGGAGCTGCTGGTGCTGGTAGCACTGCACAGCCGCGCCTGTTCTTTGCTCCACCGTCTCCATCGTCTCAGCCACCGTCTGAATCTGTGCTTCGCCAGGTTCTTAGTCTCCCTTCGTCTACTGGTCTTCCGTTACAGCCTGGCTCACCGCTGCCTGCTCCTTCTCCTTACACTGAGCAGACAGGGGGTCTTACTGAGTGTCGTGAGCCTGCGTCGCGTCCTGTCTTGCCTGTCCGTTCTGGTCGTTCCGGTCGTCGTGTTCCTCGTTCGCGTCAGCCGGCTGTCTCCAGCACCCACCTCGTCGTCCGTCGTCCTTCCTCTCCTCCGCGGCGTGTTCCCTTGCCGTCCCCTCCTACGTCTTCTCTGCCTACCGTTCCTGAGCCTGAGTCTGACCGCACCCGTGCTGCTCACCCTACTGTCACGCGTCTGCTAGCCACAGTTGTCACTGACCCGTCGTTTGAGTCTGCTGCTGCGTCTGCCTTAGTCGCTGAGCTTGTTGACTTTGCTGCTGCCTGCCGTCTAGACTACGCCGCTAGTTTTGGTTCTGAGTCTGAGTCTGTCTGTCCTCCGTCCGTCGGGGGTGAGTGTGCCTTTAGCACGGACGTCCTTGAGGACAGGCAGGAGGACCTTGAGTGTCTTGCAGCTGCTGCGCCTCATCTCGTGTCCATGCTGCTTGCCCCTGAGGGAGACCCGGATGCTCCAGACACCCCGACCCCGCGCTCTTACGCTGAGGCGTCGCGGGTGAGTACTCCTCTCAGTGGCAGACAGCCATGGACGCAGAGATGGCATCCTGGAAGTCCACAGGCACATACGTCGACGAGGTTCCCCCTCCTGGGGCGAACATCGTCAGTGGCATGTAAATTTTCAGGGTGAAGCAGCCGCCAGGTTCTCTGCCTGTCTTCAAGGCTCGTTACGTTGCTCGAGGCTTCAGTCAGCAAGAGGGAGTTGACTTCTTCCAGACCTTCTCCCCCACCCCGAAGATGACCACTCTTCGGGTGCTGCTGCACGTTGCCGCTCAGCGTGACTACGAGCTTCACTCTCTTGACTTCAGCACAGCCTTCTTACAGGGCAGCCTGCACGAGCAGATCTGGCTGCGCCGCCCACCTGGCTTCACTGGGTCGTTCCCTCTTGGTACCCAGTGGAGCCTCCGGCGGCCGGTTTACGGTCTCCGCCAGGCGCCACGTGAGTGGCACGACACACTGAGGACGACTCTTGCGGCTCTTGGGTTTACTCCGTCGACTGCTGACCCGTCGCTGTTTCTGCGCACCGACACTTCGCTGCCGCCGTTCTACATCCTCGTGTACGTCGACGACTTGGTCTTTGCCACTGCTGACACTGAGGCTTTCGCCCTGGTGAAGTCGGAGCTGCAGAAGAGACACACGTGCACAGACCTGGGTGAGCTGCGCATTTACCTTGGCTTGCAGATCACCCGGGACAGAGCATGCCGCACCATCACCCTGACTTAGTCAAACATGGTGCAGCAGGTCCTTCAGCGCTTCGGCTTCACCTGGTCCTCAGCACAGCACACTCCTCTGGCTACAGGTCACTCGCTCTCAGCTCCACCTTCGGACGAGTCCGTAGAGCTGAGTGGTCCTTACCCAGAGCTAGTGGGCTGCCTCATGTACCTGATGACCTGCACTCGTCCTGACCTTGCGTACCCTCTTGGCCTTCTGGCTCGCTACGTGGCTCCTAGTCGGCACCGAAAGGTGCACATGGATGCTGCTAAGAGGGTATTGCGCTACTTGTGCAGTACATCGGGCATGGGGCTCGTGCTTGGAGGGCGGAGCTCAGTTGTCCTCACTGGACACTCAGACGCTTCTTGGGTTGACGACCAGGCTACACAGCGGTCATCACAGGGTTACACTTTCAGCCTTGGCTCCGGTTCTGTTTCTTGGCGGTCTACGCGCTCGTCTTCTGTTCTCAGCTCTAGTTGTGAGGCTGAGATCTACGCCACAGCCATGGCTGCACAGGAGTTACGCTGGTTCACCTACCTGCTGACCGACCTGGGAGAGCGGCCTCGTTCTCCTCCTGTTCTATACGTAGACAACAAGGCCGCCATTGCCTTGTGTCAGGAGCACAGACTGGAGCACAGAACGAAGCACATCTCTCTGCGTTACTTCCTGGCTCGAGATTTGCAGCAGCGGGGTCAGCTTCGCCTTGCTCACGTGGCCACTCGGGCCAACACTGCTGATATATTCACCAAGGCACTTCCGTCTGGTGACCATCAGCGCTTTTGCACTTTGTTGGGCCTTGTGCCTACGTTTCCACACTTGCTGTAGTCTCTGCTTGTACTGTGATCTATATATATATACCTGCATGCTTGCTCTTGCTAGATAGAGATCACTGTGCTGTTCTTGTTGCTTATATACCTCTGCATGTGGACTGGCCTTGTGGCCGTTTGCTTGTGCTCAGTGTGTGTGGTGACGTTGTGATCCACCCTGAGCTGTGTTTTGTTTCTTCTCTTGACTGGTCTTGTGACCATTGCTTGCTCTGGCTATCCCCCATTTCGCCTATGGGGGTGTGTCAAAACATATGCATATTATTATCTAGGCTATATTGGGGCTAGCCTTAGGGGGTACAGAAACATTCTCGACACTCAAGTTTTGTACCCCAACCTTCACCTAATCACTCCTCCCCATGCCTATATTCTAAGACTGTGTCCGTGCACCCACCCCATTGCTGCCTTTAAGGCTGATAGCTATTGTTTATTTATGGAGATTAGGGATTGTTATATTCTGCCAATGCCTATTATTTGAAAGCACAAAGTAAATGCAACTTCTTTATGTTACCATGCATTTTCCTTTTGGATATTCCAATAGTGTCGTATGTAGGAGAGTATTGCAACAAGTCCATTTTCACATGCTCTTAATTCAATCCTAGAGTGGGCAAAATGGTCACCGTGTCTGTTCCATTTTTGTTACCGTTTACATGTTTCTTGTAAATTTCCCCAGCTGAAAAACTTCGTACTAGTTCCATAGCGAGTATCCTAGAGCGAGGAAGTTTCCACGAGTGTCATGCTCGCAACGCCATTCCAGCCGTACACGTGTCCCCGTGGCATAGTCTCACAGCATGGCGATGGCCGCAGCCCGCTATACTGTCCCTTTCGCGCTGCGGTCCGTCACTCTCCACAAATTGGAGTTAGCGGAGGCGTTCCCGGTGTGCGCTGCTGCTGCCGCTGCTGCGGCGAGCGTAACTACGCGCGAGCTTGTTGGTCCCCCCGCGGCCATGGCAGTGCTGCACGGCAAGTTGGCCTCCCCGCCTCTCCTTGCTCTCGCGGACAGCGGGCTCACAACCACCGCGCCTGCACTCTCACCCGCCGCCGAAATGCCGCAGTGGCGGTACGACGCTAAGAGCGTTACAACAAGAACCTTCCTGCTGGCGAAAGAGTATGTTGCGGGACTGCTTGTCGCGGTTCATCCTGCTATCCCACTCGCGCGCTCTCCTTCTCTCTCCGCCCGTGCTTCTGCGCACGCCGTTCCGACTTGGTATTGAATCTGCGAGGGAATACTAGCATTACTCTCTTTCTCACGCGCCGCAAGGCCGCGTCCACGCGCGCCGCTCCCGCTTCCCCGCGGGCAGCCGCTACATGACGGGCTGCTGCTGCCGCCGTTCCATGCCGTGCCGCTGCGCCGCCGCTCCCGCCCGCCGCGCTGAGCGTGCGCCCGCGATCCGCCTGGACTCCGCCCGGCGCCGCATCGAGTGCGCGGGGCGCTGCGTGCTGGCGGACGTGCCCGCCGGCACCCGCTTCCGCCTCGCCGCCACTGGCGCGGAGCGCGGGGAGGAAGGGCAGGGAGAAAGCGGGGAGCGCGGGGAGGGAGAAAGTGGGGAGGGAGAAAACGGGGAGGGCGGAGATGAGGGCAGGTTCACCGGCGCGTTTCTGGGCGCCACGATGGACAGTCCACGCTAGCATGCGGTGGTGGATCTGGGGTCTCTCAGGTGCGCCCTTACCGCCCTTACCACCCTTAGGACGCGGACACTCCCACCACATTTGCGTGATCGATCCTGCGCAGGATCGTATTTTAACGGGTTTTAAAAGGGTTCAGATTATAACAGCAGGTTTCCAGTGCGGTGGCGGATCAATATTGCAAGATTGATCGCCAAAATCGATGTGAATGTCCGCATCCTTACCAGACTTGCTGCTCAGCACACCCCTCGCCGTGCATGCAGCACCGCACAGCACAGCACTTGCTTGCAGTGGCAGGGGCACTCTTAGGAGGCCCATGGGACGAACAGCAGGCACTCCATTAGTTGCGTTGCGTGGTGTGAGAAGCGAGTAAAGGCAGTGCTGTGCTGTGCTGTGCTGTGCAGTGCTGTGCTGTGCTGTGCTGTGCTGTGCTGTGCTGTGCTGTGCTGTGCTGTGCTGTGCTGTGCTGTGCTGTGCTGTGCTGTGCTGTGCTGTGCATGGGCATGGGCATGGGCATGGGCATGGGCATGGGCATGGGCATGGGCATGGGCATGGGCATGGGCATGGGCATGGGCATGGGCATGGGCATGGGCATGGGCATGGGCATGGGCATGGGCATGGGCATGGGCATGGGCATGGGCATGGGCATGGGCATGGGCATGGGCATGGGCATGGGCATGGGCATGGGCATGGGCATGGGCATGGGCATGGGCATGGGCATGGGCATGGGCATGGGCATGGGCATGGGCATGGGCATGGGCATGGGCATGGGCATGGGCATGGCATGGGCATGGGCATGGGCATGGGCATGGGCATGGGCATGGGCATGGGCATGGGCATGGGCATGGGCATGGGCATGGGCATGGGCATGGGCATGGGCATGGGCATGGGCATAGGCATGGGCATGGCAGCGGTCACGACTTCATGTGCTGCTTCCGGTTCAAGCTGTGGTGGATGACACAGCGCGCGGGCACGCGCGGGAGAGACGTGCCCGTGGAAACCCAGTTCCTGCTCCTGCGCCTGTCCCCACTGCCACCACTGGAGGTGACATGGGTGATGGGGATGGGGATGGTGACGGGGATGGGGAGGGCGATGAGGAGGGCGAGGGGGAGGGGGGAGGGGGGAGGGGGGGATGGGGATGGGAATGCATGCAGCAGATGCAATGAGACAGGAAAGGAGCAAAACGAGGAATGAGGGGGGAGGAAGTGCGAGTGGAGAGGGGGATGTAGGAGCTGAGGAAAGTGCGAGGGGAGGGAGGGAGAGAGCAAGAGGGAGAAGATGGTGGGGAGGGAGGGATGGGTGTGTGGGATACAACCCACACAGCACCTGCCGTACGACCATGTGTGCGCCCGCCCATGAGTGCTTTGCCCCACCACGCTCGTCTCTGCTCTGACTCTTAACTTGCTCCACTGTATTCGCGCTGCATGCATGCGTTCCCGCGCTCGGCTCGGACGCATGTGTGCGTGCGTGTGCATGCGTGCATTTGTGTGCATGTGTGCGTGCGTGTGCATGCGTGCATTTGTGTGCATGTGTGCGTGCGTGTGCATGCGTGCATTTGTGTGCATGTGTGCGTGCGTGTGCATGCGTGCATTTGTGTGCATGTGTGCGTGCGTGTGCATGCGTGCATTTGTGTGCATGTGTGCGTGCGTGTGCATGCGTGCATTTGTGTGCATGTGTGCGTGCGTGTGCATGCGTGCATTTGTGTGCATGTGGTGCGTGCATTGCATTGTGCGTGCGTGTGCATGCGTGCATTTGTGTGCATGTGTGCGTGCGTGTGCATGCGTGCATTTGTGTGCATGTGTGCGTGCGTGTGCATGCGTGCATTTGTGTGCATGTGTGCGTGCGTGTGCATGCGTGCATTTGTGTGCATGTGTGCGTGCGTGTGCATGCGTGCATTTGTGTGCATGTGTGCGTGCGTGTGCATGCGTGCATTTGTGTGCATGTGTGCGTGCGTGTGCATGCGTGCATTTGTGTGCATGTGTGCGTGCGTGTGCATGCGTGCATTTGTGTGCATGTGTGCGTGCGTGTGCATGCGTGCATTTGTGTGCATGTGTGCGTGCGTGTGCATGCGTGCATTTGTGTGCATGTGTGCGTGCGTGTGCATGCGTGCATTTGTGTGCATGTGTGCGTGCGTGTGCATGCGTGCATTTGTGTGCATGTGTGCGTGCGTGTGCATGCGTGCATTTGTGTGCATGTGTGCGTGCGTGTGCATGCGTGCATTTGTGTGCATGTGTGCGTGCGTGTGCATGCGTGCATTTGTGTGCATGTGTGCGTGCGTGTGCATGCGTGCATTTGTGTGCATGTGTGCGTGCGTGTGCATGCGTGCATTTGTGTGCATGTGTGCGTGCGTGTGCATGCGTGCATTTGTGTGCATGTGTGCGTGCGTGTGCATGCGTGCATTTGTGTGCATGTGTGCGTGCGTGTGCATGCGTGCATTTGTGTGCATGTGTGCGTGCGTGTGCATGCGTGCATTTGTGTGCATGTGTGCGTGCGTGTGCATGCGTGCATTTGTGTGCATGTGTGCGTGCGTGTGCATGCGTGCATTTGTGTGCATGTGTGCGTGCGTGTGCGTGTGTGTGCATGCATGTGTGGGAACGCGCGAGCGCCATTTTATGGCGAATGTGCATGCGAGTGTGATTGGTGAAAACGGCAGGGCGGCGGGCATTTGAATCACACAGCAGTGAGCACTGGGGTCGGAGAGAACGAGAAGATTGCAGGGGATGAGGGTGAAGGGAGGGAGAAGAGCGGAGGGAGCGAGGGCGGGGGAGCAGTGTACATGATGGTGATGCCGCTGCTGGACGGTGTGTTTGCCGCATCACTGCAGGGCTCCCCACACGACCGCCTGCAGCTCTGCCTTGACTCCGGTCCGGCACCCCCTTTGCCGCCGCTCGTTCCTGCTGTGTGCATGAGACATGTGCCCTGCCCATGCCCATGCCCATGCCTTTGCCCATGCCCATGCCATTCTTACTGCCACGCTCCCATCAATGAAACCTCCTGTGTGGCATCCGAGGTGATCGCTGCGTGAGGGGCAGCGAGGCGCAGCAAGGGGCGTTCATGGGGGCGGGCATCAACCCCCACAGCACATGCCACTGTGTCAAGTCTGCAGGGGCGAATCATTTCTTCATCATGTCATGTGCTGCCCTGTCACTCTGCTCTGCTCTGCTCTGCCATACACATCATTGTCGTCATCACCACCTTACGCCTATCCTCTCCCTCGAATGGTCCTTTATTGACATAGGCTATGTTATACAACAGGAGGGCAATGTCTCCTCTGCCTCTCCTCTCCCTCATTCCATGCTGCCTGTGCCCGTCCTCCCCATACCCCTTGCTCGCGTGCCGTGCCCATGCTGCGTGTCTCGCCATGGGGTGCACTGGTGGTCCTCAACACGTGCCACGCCGTGCATCGAGGGGCGCCATGCAGGGCCGTGCAGCAGCAGCTAGGCACGTTCAAGATACGGGAAGAGAAACCGGTGAGGGCAGCGTATGCCAGCGTGTATGTTGAGCGGAGCACCCCGTCCCGTCCCGTCCCGTCCCGTCCCGTCCCGTCCCGTCCCGTCCCGTCCCGTCCCGTCCCGTCCCGTCCCGTCCCGTCCCGTCCCGTCCCGTCCTGTCCTGTCCTGTCCTGTCCTGTCCTGTCCTGTCCTGTCCTGTCATGTACCCCGCTGCCCTCCCACCACCATAATCCATACAGACCAGACCAGACCACAGTCGTTACGGCAGAGCTCTCCAGATTTATCGCCCATTCTCATCCCCCCATGCCTTGCACCCCCACCACCCACCGCACCATGCCCTTTCCACACCACCATTGGACCCTACTCTACCGCTTTCTCCCCCAAATGATCCTGCTCCTCCATTGCTCCCTCCACTCCGTTCTCCCATTGTCCCCTCCGTTCCTGACATCCTCTCTCTCCCGCGCATGCCCTGCCCCCCATACCCTTCCCTCCCATGCCCTGCTCCCCATACCCTTCCCTCCCATGCCCTGCCCCCCATACCCTTCCCTCCCATGCCCTGCCCCCCATACCCTTCCCTCCCATGCCCTGCCCCCCATACCCTTCCCTCCCATGCCCTGCCCCCCATACCCTTCCCTCCCATGCCCTGCCCCCCATACCCTTCCCTCCCATGCCCTGCCCCCCATACCCTTCCCTCCCATGCCCTGCCCCCCATACCCTTCCCTCCCATGCCCTGCCCCCCATACCCTTCCCTCCCATGCCCTGCCCCCCATACCCTTCCCTCCCATGCCCTGCCCCCCATACCCTTCCCTCCCATGCCCTGCCCCCCATACCCTTCCCTCCCATGCCCTGCCCCCCATACCCTTCCCTCCCATGCCCTGCCCCCCATACCCTTCCCTCCCATGCCCTGCCCCCCATGCCCTGCCCCCCCATGCCCTGCCCCCCATACCCTTCCCTCCCATGCCCTGCCCCCCATACCCTTCCCTCCCATGCCCTGCCCCCCATGCCCTGCCCCCCCATGCCCTACCCGCAGGTACCGGAGGTGCTACGGTGGTTTGGGTGGCGCACGTGGAATGCCCTCTACACGCACGTGGAATGCCCTCTACACGCACGTGGACAGCGCCGGCATCGGTGCTGGCCTCTCCAGGTGCGGTGCACCTGCCACACACGTGCATGCGCTGGCTCGGAAGGAAGGGATAGATTGCAGCAGTGGAAGGCGCATGGGTGCATTTCCTGCATGGGCGTGAGGGTGCATTTCCTGCATGGGCGTGAGGGTGCATTTCCTGCATGGGCGTGAATGCCATGCGAGATGAGCTTGGAGTGGAGTGCACGGATTTTTATTACATTGGAAGAGTCACGTCCATTAGGGCTTTTCAACTCTCTGACTACAGTGAGGCACCTCAATCTCAACAGGTGTGCTTGTAGTGCAAGCGTACTGCACGTTCCACGTGTTATCTGTCACCCCTCCCTCGCAACCTCTTCCCTCCTCCCACCCTCGCCCCTTCTCCACCCCCTTCCTGGTCCTGTGCCCCTTTGGTCAGCCTGGCAGCGGGCGGCACGCCAGCTCACATTCTGGTGATCGATGATGGCTGGCAGGCCACTGCTGCTGATGAGGCCGTGGAGGAGACGGAGGAAGGGCAAGGGGAGTGGGATGGGGGAGGGGAGGGAGACGAGGAGGGAGACGAGGAGGGAGAAGAGGAGGGAGAAGAGGAGGGAGAAGAGGAGGGAGAAAAGGAGGGAGAAAAGGAGGGAGAAAAGGAGGGAGAAAAGGAGGGAGAAAAGGAGGGAGAAAAGGAGGGAGAAAAGGAGGGAGAAAAGGAGGGAGAAAAGGAGGGAGAAAAGGAGGGAGAAAAGGAGGGAGAAGCAGGGGAAACATGGAGACGAGGAGAAGGCAGGATGCGTGGAGCAAGTGAAGTCGGAGGCACACGTAGGTGTTGCTGGCACTGCTGATGACCTCCACAACCGCCATTGCTGTTCATCATCGCACATGGATTGCCCGCCTCGCTTACTCTCACCACCTGCATCTATCCCACTCGTTGAGAGTGCTGCAGCACATGATGGTGCATCTATCCCACTCGTGGAGAGTGCTGCAGCACATGATGGTGCATCTATCCCACTCGTGGAGAGTGCTGCAGCACATGATGGTGCATCTATCCCACTCGTGGAGAGTGCTGCAGCACATGATGGTGCATCTATCCCACTCGTGGAGAGTGCTGCAGCACATGATGGTGCATCTATCCCACTCGTGGAGAGTGCTGCAGCACATGATGGTGCATCTATCCCACTCGTGGTGAAGGCAGAGGGGGGATTGGAGAGGACGAAGGAGGGGTAGGTAGCGGGGAAGGGGTAGAGAAGGAGCAGGCGGAGGAGGGGGAGGGGGATATGGGTGGGAGAGGTGGAGAGGCGCTGGTGGACATATGGGGGCTGAAGAAGCGGCATGGGCTCAGGCAAGTCACAGTGAGTCTGTACATAGGTTGGTGGATTGCAAGTCCGCTAGTGCCCCTTTCCCCAGACGCCATCTCAGTTATTCAACACCCTCCCCTGTTCACCACCCTCACAAATGCACCCTACCTTTCCCCCGTTCCCTCTCATCCACTCGCCTCTCCTACCCCCCTCCACCCCCCCCTCTCTCTCCCCAAACACGTGTACATGTGGCACGCACTGATCGGCTACTGGAACAGCATGCACCCGTCCCTCGTCATGCTCTGCGCCCCTGTGGCAGGTGGCTCTTTGCTCTCCCCTCACTCTTTGCCCTCCCCTCACTCTTTGCCCTCCCCTCACTCTTTGCTCTCCCCTCACTCTTTGCTCTCCCCTCACTCATTGCTCTCCCCTCACTCTTTGCTCTCCCCTCACTCTTTGCCCTCCCCTCACTCTTTGCTCTCCCCTCACTCTTTGCTCTCCCCTCACTCATTGCTCTCCCCTCACTCTTTGCTCTCCCCTCACTCTTTGCCCTCCCCTCACTCTTTGCTCTCCCCTCGCTCTTTGCTCTCCCCTCACTCTTTGCCCTCCCCTCACTCTTTGCTCTCCCCTCACTCTTTGCCCTCCCCTCACTCTTTGCCCTCCCCTCACTCTTTGCCCTCCCCTCACTCTTTGCTCTCCCCTCACTCTTTGCTCTCCCCTCACTCTTTGCTCTCCCCTCACTCTTTGCCCTCCCCTCACTCTTTGCCCTCCCCTCACTCTTTGCTCTCCCCTCACTCTTTGCTCTCCCCTCACTCTCTGCACTCTAGTGTGCCCATCTCGTCACCAGTGCAGTGCATGCACAGCACAGCACAGCACAGCACAGCACAGCACCGCACCGCACAGCACAGCACAGCACCGCACCGCACAGCACCGCACCGCACCGCACCGCACAGCACAGCACAGCACAGCACCGCACCGCACAGCACAGCACAGCACCGCACCATGCATGCACGCCCACCTCAACCACCGCATTAATCTCCGTGGGTGAGTCGTTGTGGGGGGTGAGGGGGCGTTTGGAGTGAGCGCAGGTGGTGAGAGCAAGCTAACCAGGCGAGCATGCAAGGGCTCATGGCACTGCCCGCAGCACCACCCTCCTCCGCTTACACCGCCGCTTTGCCTCACCCACCCTAACCCCCCTCTTTCCGCTTTGGTTTGGCCTTTGCTCTCCCCTGCTGCAGCTCTCGCCAAGCAACCCCGCGGCGCTTCAAGCCTTTAGGTTTGAGCAGGTTGGCGAAGGAGCGCAAGCTCGCACGCTGCATCAGAGTAAGCATTGGTTCGCTAGAAGAAGGTTTCATGGGGTATGCGCACTTTTTTTTAACTGCCCCGTCGAAGAGCTTGCATTTTCGTTTTATGCGCTTTCGCCTACCCAACTTACCCCGCTCTGCCTGCTCACTGCGTCAACTCTTCCATCTCGGTACATCTCTCTGCGCCCTTCCCCCTCCCTCGCCACCCCCCCCTGCCCCGTGCACATCCCCGCACCAGTCACAGCACCCAGCAGCGGAGTTGCACGCTGCAGCCAGGGCCGTGGGGGGCTGCCCCGTCTATGTCAGGTGGGGGGCGACAGGCGAGGCGACGAGGGGTGGGAGAAGGGAGGTGAAGAAGTGGGGTTGAGGCGGTGTGTGTGTGAGAGGTGGAGCAGGTGAGGGGAGAGGGAGGACACGCAGATGCTGGTTACCCTGGTTCGAGCTGCTTCACCTCATTGCAATGCTCCGCTCGTCTCCTACCCGCCCGCCGCCGTGCATCCACCTGTCTCCACAAATTACCATGTACAAGTCTATTTATGCGCGTTCTTCCTTCCCTCCCTCGCTGCTCAGCTTTCCGGTGCTGCACGTGTCCTTGCCCAACCTTTCCCCACCCCGGGCCCAGTCACCCTGCCATGGTTTCTTGCTGCGCCAATGCCGCTGCATGCCTCTCTGCTGTGCCGCCTGCCTCACTCCCCTCCGTTCTGGTCCCCATGCTCCCCCGTCCCTTCCTCTTCCCCGGATCCCCCTTCCTACCCACTCCCCCCCCCCCTCTCCCCCCTCTCCGCCCTCTCCCCCCCCTTGCTTGCCCATCGCCCAGCAAATCTCCCTCCCCGCACGGCCGTGCACGTCCCAGTGACAAGCCCGGGCAGCACAACAGCGCACTGCTGGCACGCCTGGTGCTGCCCGATGGCTCGCTGCTGCGGGCCCTGCTGCCAGGCCGCCCCGCCCCACCCTCGACTGCCTCTTCCTCCACCCTGCTGCACACTCCGCTAGGTCTGTACCTCATGCACTCTATGGCAGTGCGTGGTGGTATGGGAGTGCATGCGTGGGTTGTGGTAACAGCTGCTGCTGCTGCTGCTGCTGCTACCAGCGCCACATGCATTCGCATGCCATATCTCATCCTTCACTTCCTGTGTGTCGCTCTGCTGCTTGCGCCTCACCACCACACGACATCTCGTCCCCTCGAGGCCACCTTCATTGTTCCTCCTCTAACCTGCCTTTCCGTTCAAGCTCACCTCCTCCTCTATGCTGTCCCCCCATGCATGCATACAAACACTCACACATGCACGCATGCACGCATACACACACATACATGCCCGTATCACCCCACCGCACATGTTTGTCCGTGCAGGCTGCTCAAGGTGCGGAACATCAACCCCTGCGGCGGCGTTGTGGGTGTCTTCAACTGCCAGGTGCGCATGCGTGCTGTTGCTTGCACCAACACCGGGGTGAGAGAGGGAGGGAGTACTTGGGGAAGGGGAACGCAGGGAAGGGAAGAGGCTGTGGAAATTTGGGGCGCAGGTGTGCACGGGTTGATCATGGGCCGGGCCGGACCCGGCCCAGGTAGGGCCAGGCCGGGCCACGCAAAATAACGGGCCGGGCCTGGCCCGGCCGAACTCGGGCCGAATGAGCAAGACCCTGGCCCGAGTTCGCCCAGGGTGTACCTGGGCCGAAATGGCCTGACCCGGGCTGGGCGGATGCACTTTCGTTATAGGTAGATTGGTTTTTTGGGCCTGTTTAGAGAGGCAAACAAGCCTCGGGCCAACCTGGGCCGGCCCGGCCCGGCCCGCTTCTAAACGGGCGTGCCAAAAGCGGGCCGACCCCGGCCCGGCGGGCTGGGGCCGACAGCCTAATCTAGAGGTTCAGGTAAGGCAGTTTCGGGCCGGCCCGACCCGGGCCGGGCCCAGCCCATTTTTTTGCTCAACCCTACTTCACCCCCCGCTGCGACATACCACTGTAACACCATCCTGCCCCTTTACTCTGCCCTTCCACCATCCTTCTGCACGAATCCCCATTGCCAGCTTGTTTTCTGCCTCACCTCTCTCCGGCCAGTACCTTTTCGTCTCCGTTCATTCTCTCATGTCAACCAAACCATGCCCTCATGCCGCATCATGTATGTGACTAATATCGTTGCCTGAACTGCTGTTTCGTCTACATCAATCAGGGCGCAGAATGGAGCGAGGAGCAGCAGTACGTCTTTAACGAGCACCACAGCGCCACTCTGCTGCCACCTGTACCGTCTCACCTGCTGACATGGACAAGCTTGCAGACGTGGCAGGTTCATACTGGCATGGTGATGTGGCAATCTACAGCCATCAATCAAGTGGGTGGAATTTTTTCTATGTAGGGCGGCTTGTGCGGCAAGCTGACATTGCTGTGCAAGAGATGCTTGCTTGGCCATTTTACTACACAGCATGTCCCCCTCCTACTCCATACTCTCTCACGTGTTGCGAGCCCATGCTCTGCCTGTCACATCTGCACGTGTGACCGCCATCTCTCCCTTCTCCCTCTCCGTGTACCATGTCGCACTTGTTGGCCCATGTTGCCATGTGTGTGTTGAAAGAGTTCTAGAACCTAGGAGGCATGGAAACCTTAGGTGCTAGGAAGGGGGTTAACGAGAGTGTCGAGAGGAGAAAGTTGGCAACAAAAGAGATTGTTCACTATAGAGCGAGCAGTACAAATAGGCAAGAATGAAGAAAGGTGCACCACCAAACAGAAAGTTATGACTACAGTATTCTAGACTACAGGCAGTTATAAAACAATGTATAGAATTATATATTATTCTGACACGCCCCCATAAGTGCCTGTAGGGAAGAATGTGCAGTCAACGCCCCCATAATGGGGTACACCAGACAGGCCGCAGCGGAAATCACAGCAACAGGCAAGTGCAGTAGCAACCGGTGCAGTGATGGCAGAATAGGAATGCAACAGAATGGTCAAACTAGGAAGTGTGGAAGTACAAATATGCAACCCTAACAACTGTACTCCCTATTGTGCTACTCACTGTAGCCTACAAGCATAGAATTACATTTGACACACCCCCATAGGCTAAGTGAGGGGCATCAAAGCAAGCAAGGTGAACAAACGGTCACAAGACCAGTCAAAGCAAGAAACAAGGCAAGCTCAGGGTGGATCTCAAGGACACCACACAAATTCCGAGCGCAAGCAAGCGGCCACAAGGCCAGTTCAAGAGTTCATTAGGATATAAATAGGAAGCACAACAAGCAGAGCAAACAACAAGACTACAGCAACCGAGGGCCTACCTCAACAAGCCCCAACTGCACACAGAACCTGTGGTGATCACCAAGCGCCAAGGCCTTGGTGAAGACGTCTGCAGTGTTGGCCTCTGAGGCCACAAAGTCCAGGCGTGCCTGGCCACGTCGCTGCAGCTCTCGCAGGAGGAAGTACCTCACGTCAATATGCTTCACTCTGCTCTCCAGTCGAGGCTCTCGACACAGGAGGATCATGGCCTTGTTGTCAGCGTACAAGGTCGGTGCAGAGCGAGGCCGCTCACCAAGGTCGGCGAGCAAGAAGGTCAACCAGCGAAGCTCCTGTGCCGCCATGGCACCAGCGTAGATCTCTGCCTCTGCACTGGAAGTAGCCACAGACGACGACCGTGTAGACCTCCACGACACAGCACCAGCTCCCAGACTGAAGCAGTAACCCTGAGTCGAGCGCTGAGTCTCCACGTCGTCAGCGTAGGAAGAGTCGCAGTGACCAGTCAACGCCACTGGCTGAGTCCCTCCAAGCACAAGCCCCATGCCTGATGTAGTCGCCAGGTACTTCGCCACCCTCACAGCAGCTGTCCAGTGGACAGGTCGGTGTCTCCCAGTCGCAACAAAGCGAGAAAGGATGCTGAGGGGAAAGGCGAGGTCCGGTCGAGTACAAGTCATCAGGTACATGAGGCAGCCCACCAGCTCTGCGTAGGGTCCACTGGACTCGAAGGGCTCGTCAGGAAAGGGGCCCGTGAGTCTGTGGTCAACAGCAAGAGGAGTGGGCTGTGTGGTGGAGAACTGGAAGTCGAACCGCCGAAGGACCTGCTGCACCATGTGTGACTGCGTCAGTGTGATGGTGCGAGCGGCTCTGTCCCGGGTGATCTGCAAGCCAAGGTAGCGCTGCAGCTCACCCAGGTCAGTACACTTGTGTCTCTTCTGCAGTTCGGACTTCACCTGAGCCAGGGCTGCCCTGTCAGCTGTAGCAAACACCAAGTCGTCGACGTAGACAAGGATAAAGAACGGAGTAGAACCCGCTCGAACAAACAGCGACGGGTCGGCGGAGGACGGGCTGAACCCAAGGTCACGAAGCGTGGAGCGAAGAGTGTCGTGCCACTCACGGGGCGACTGGCGGAGACCGTAGACTGGTCGCCTCAGGCTCCACTGGGTCCCAGGTGGGAAGGTGTCAGTGAAGCCAGGAGGACGGCGCAGCCAGATCTCCTCGTGCAGTCGGCCCTGGAGGAACGCAGTGGAGAAGTCGAGGGAGTGCAGCTCGTAGTCTCGCTGCGCTGCTATGTGGAGTAACACCCGAAGAGTAGTCATCTTCGGGGTCGGGGCGAAGGTCTGGAAGAAGTCAACTCCCTCACGCTGACTGAAGCCCCTAGCCACGTAGCGCGCCTTGAACACCGGCGGTGCTCCAGGCGGCCGCTTCACCTTGAAGAGCCACATGCCATCGACTACGTTCGCCCTGGGAGGGGGAACTGCGTCGACGTAGGTGCCTGTGGATCTCCAAGACGCCAACTCTGAGTCCATAGCCGCTTTCCACTGAGAGGCCCACGCCCCTGACACTGCCTCGCGGTAAGTGCGAGGAGTCGGTATGTCAAGGGCGTCGGGGTCTCCCTCAGGGGAGAGCAGCATGGCACACACAGAGGGAGAAGCGGCTGCCCAGTACTCCAGCTCAGACTCTCTGTCCTCTAGGACGTCACAGCCAAGGGCAAACCCACCCCCGACGGACAGAGGACGGTAGGGAGGAGCTGGCACCACCCGGGTGGCATAGTCAAGGCGGCTGGCGGCAGCAAACTCAGCGACAGCGGCAGTAAGAGCCGAGGCAGACGACGGAGGGAAACGAGAGTCAGTGACAAGAGTGGCGAGGACACGTGCGGCAACAGGACGAACAGTGCGGTAGTAGTCAGTTATAGGAGTGGGGAGGGCTGGGAGAGAGGACGGAGGAGGAGACAGGAGAACGGACACAGGAGAAGGAGAACGACGACGGGACGAACAAAGGAGGGCAGTGTGGAGGTCAGTAACAGGGGACGAGTGACGAGCACGCGGAGGACAACGAGTGATCAAGTCGTGACGGACAGAGTGAGGAGGAGACCGAGGAGGAGGAGAAGACCAGACCGCCGGACGGTCGTCAGGAGGAGGCAAGGGAGGAACAAGCACAGGAGGAGACTGGGAGCGGACAGGAGGAGAGGAGGAAAGGCCAAGGGCCCGCAGGCCACTCACAGGTGGGAACAACTGCCGCTCCAGAGGAAGCTGCGGTGGTGGCTGCGGCTGCTGCTGCTGCAGCGGCGGCTGCGGCTGCTGCTGCTGCGGCTGCGGCTGCTGCTGCTGCGGCTGCGGCTGCTGCTGCTGCTGCTGCTGCTGCCGCTGCTGCTCCAGAAGGTCCAGCACCCGCAGCTCCTGCCGCTCCCTCTCCAACCGCTCCTGCTCCTCACGCTCACGCCGACGGGCAGCCTGGAGACGCGTGTCGTGGCGGTGGGGAGGCGAAGTGGACTCCGCAGAACCAGGGTCTCCAGCGTCAGTCTCCTCAGACTCAGCACCCCCAGAACCAGCACCTCCAGTGCCAGGACCTCCAACTCCAGCACCCCTAGAACTAGCACCGCCAGTGCCAGCACCACCAACTCCAGCACCCCCAGAACTAGCACCTCCAGTGCCAGCACCTCCAGCTCCAGCACCCCCAGAGCCAGCGCCACCTGCGCCAGCACTTCCAGCTCCAGCACCCCGCGACCGAGCACCCCCAGACCGAGCACCGCCAGCGGCTGCACCTCCAGCTCCAACACCAACCGAGTCCACAGTAACCTGTCGCGGAAGTGCCGAAGGCTGCTGAGGGGACTGCGAGGAGGACTGCGGGGAGGGAGACGCTACCTGACGCGCGACCGAGGGTAGAGGGGTAGCGTGGGACACACCAGACGGGGCAGGACCAGGGGGGGGCGGGGGTACCGGAGGAGCAGGAGCAGGAGGAGGAGAGGGTGCTAGGAACAGGGGGGGAGGGGGTACCGGGAGACCTCGACAGGGGTACCGGGTGTAGTAGGACACAGACTCGTCAAACCGGACGTCACGGGAGTCTAGGAACTGGTGGAGGGGCGGGTGGTAAAAGGACCAGTCGGCAGAGTCCACTGGGAAACCAAGGAAGAGACAGGGGACGGCGCGTGCCGAGAGCTTGTCCGCGGAGGTGTCGCGAACAAGTGCAAGGCAGC